CTCTAGACCCTTCCCCAGCAGCTCCGTTGCCCTTCTCTGGCCACGCTCCAGCTCCTCAAGGTCCTTCTGGGAGTGAGGGGCCCAAAACTGACCCCAGGATTTGAGGAGCAGTGTCGCCCATGCCCAGCCCAGGGGCACGTTCCCTGCCCTGCTCCTGCTGGCCACACTAGTGCTGATCCAGGCCAGGATGCTGGTGGCCTTCTTGGCCACCTGGGCACATGGTGCCTCATTTTCAACCAGGTGATGACCAACCTCCTTAGGTCCTTTTCCTCTGGGCACTTTCCAGCCAATTTCCCCCAAGTCTGGAGTGTTTCAGGGGGTGGTGGTTGTAACCCAAGGGTGCCTTGATCTCTTCATCCAGATCAGATTTTAACAGTAAAATAACATGTTGTACCTACACAGTTAAAATGCCTCTCTCCAAAATAAGTGTGCCAGAAATTAAAGTGTCAGCATAATCAGCTGTATGATGGGTTTTTCATATTGAGAAATTTGTTGCTGGCAATACTGGTTTAGATTTGACCTGGTTTAGATAATTGGAAACGTTGAGAGGAAAATAATCCTTGGTGTTTTCTGAAGGATTTCTCTCTCTCTGTGGCATTTAATCCTGGTGGCACTGAGAAATATTTCCCATATTACATTTTTGCCACATCTAACCTGGCAAAGTTATGAGCACGATGTGGTGATGTGCAATGTGTTATTAATACCTAAGGTGATAAAACTGAGCATTAAACCCACCATTTCCCTTTATTTCTAGCCCAAAACGTTGACGCCGTGGGTTGGACTGAGGAAAATCAACGTGTCCTATTGGTGCTGGGAAGACATGTCTCCCTTCACCAACACCCTCCTCCAGTGGCTTCCCCAGGAGCCAAGTGATGCTGGATTTTGTGGTTATTTAGCTGAACCTTTCCAGCAGGGACTGAAGGCAGCCACGTGCATCAACGAGGTCAACGGCAGCGTCTGCGAAAGGCCAGGTACCAACAGCTGACTTGGGGCTCTCAGGGGGGGCAGGGTGGCTGGTAAAAACTTCCTTTTCCTAGGAACGGGAAAAAAACATTTGTTAAATTTAAAGCTAACTGCACGGTGAGTTTGCCAAAGAAAAGGAGTTCTGAAGTGGTGTCTTCTGTAGGGACTTCGTAGAGGAATTGGGGATTTTAACACGAGCTCCATATTGATGCTGTTCACTGTAAAATGCTTGCAGTACATTTTAACATCATAACAAACTCCAGTGTAATTATTTTACTCTGAATTGCCTACCTGAGTGTTACATTTAGGTTAATTATGGTATGGAGCAATCTCCTGTTTCAAAACCAGAAAAGTGACTTGCCAGTTGAACTCCCCTTTTCTCCCCTCCCGGGCTCTGTAGCCAGAGGAGGATTTTATCAAAGTTTAAAATTAATTGGGCAGGACACACTGGAGATCTGAGAACTTTGTACAAGAAGCTATTAGCTTTTGGGAAAGGTCTTCTAGCTTTGTTGGAACCGTGTATCCCTTAGAACAGCTTGCTCTGTTAACTCTCCATTACAGCTGATTATTTCTCAGTGCCAATTAGTGCCTCTTTAAGTTTGAAGAAAGCTGAATGATGATGTGAAATTTCTAAGCAAGCCACACCACTTGAAATCTTTCTTTGTGCAGGTTGTAGCTGGTGAATGTGGAGCGTGAACTCCAAATTTTGTGTATTTTAACTTGCAGCACTTTGAATTAGTTTAAGCTTTAACTTGTTTTTTATGGTCTGAGAACTGTCACTTGAAACAGATGATAAAACATTGACTCACACCAGAAACTCCTGAGTTAGTTCTGCTTTCAGGGCTCATTTTATGTGTGGAACTGATCAAATAACTTAAAACACATCCCAGTGTGCTGACATCAACCATGGCATTTCTTCCCAGCCCTTCAGTTAGGAGAGGAGCTAAGGAACACATCAACAGCCCTGGAGAGAGACAGAGACCACATTCGTAACACCATTTACACTGGTTTTAGGGTGAATACCTTAAGGTGAATATTCACTTTTTGAGGTGACTACCTTAAAAAACATTAATGCTCATGAAGGACAGATAATAAGGGAAATGATTTTGCAGGACATGCTGCATTTCTCATATTCCCTGTGGTGTTAGATATCTCCAGCTCCATCCGTCAACACCACACCACAAAGGAAGTGTTTAAACTCTCTGATCCACAGAATGTTTTGGGTTGGAAGGGACCTTTAAAGGTCATCTAGTCCAACCCCCTGCCCTGAGCAGAGACAGCTGTAGCTAGAGCAGGTTGCTCAGAGCCCCAGCCAACCTCACCTGGGATGGTGCCAGGGATGGGGCAGTGACCACCTCTCTGGGCAGCCTGGGCCAGGGGCTCACCACCCTCAGTGTAAATAGTTTCTCCTTTCTATCTAGTTTGAATCTCCCTCTTTCAGTTTCAAACCATCCCCCTTGTCATGTCCCAACAGGCCCTGCTAAAAAGTCCCTCCCCAGCTTTCTTGTAGGCCCCCTTTAGATACTGCAGGGCCCCCAGCAGGTCTCCCCAGCTGGAGCCTTCTCCTCTGGGGCTGCCCCAGCCCAACTCTCTCCTGCTGGGCTCCCAGCAGAGGGGTTCCCCCCTCGGGGCATTGCTGGG